TTTTGTATCCTAAATAATAAAAGCCTAATAGGTAAATTGTCTCCTCAACCGGGAGTTTGACCACTAGCTATGACCTGTGCTGACCACCAGGGGGCAGCGCAGAACATGGTGGGCATTGGCGATGTGGAGCTGGCAATGGGCGGCAGTGGAGGCACTGCTGGCCCCGATGGGCCCCAATGAGAGTGGGACCATGGTGGGATGGTAGAGCAGGTGAGCAGGCATTGCCAGGCCAAGGCAGGTGTGAGTGGGGCCCGATCGCCCCGCAGAAGGAGACCAGCAGCAGTGTCTGGGCCGCAACCCAGCCCCCAGGTGCTGAGGGAGCCAGGAGGGAGCCCAATGACTCAGGCAGAGGGGGGAACATGGGGGCTCAAGGGCCCAGGTGCTTCCCAGGGCCCAGAGGTCAGCTGGGACCTGCCCTTCCATGCCAGACGCTCATGCTTCAATCACCAGCCAGGCCTAGGAACTGCACCTGTGCACGAATTTCATGCACCTGGCCTTTAGTTGTTTTATAAGACTCTATGTTTATTTCATTTCAATTTTTATTATTTCCTTTCTTCTACCTAATTTGGGCTTTGTTCCTTGTTCCTTTTCTAGTAGCTATCTGTGTAAGGTTAGAGTATTTATTTTAGATTTTTGTTTCTTGAGTTAGGCATGTATTGCTATGAATTTCTCTCTTAGTACTGCCTTCACTGTGTCCCATAGATTTTGGATTATTGTGTGACCATTCTTACTTGTCTCAAGGAATCTGTTAATTTCTTCCTTGATCTCATTATAAATCCATTCGTTGTTTAGTAACATGGGATCTACCCTCTGTGTGTTTGTGTGTTTTTCAGTTTTTTTCTTGTGATTATTTTTAGTTTCATAAAATTTTGATTAGAGAAGATGCTTGATATGATTTTAATTTTCTCAAATTTATTGAGGTGTTTTTGTTCCAAGATGGGGTCTATGCTATAAAATATTTCACATGCACTTGAAAAGAGTGTATATTCTGCTGCTTTGTGGTGAAATGCTCAATTAAACCCATCTGATCTAGTGCATCATTGAATGCCACCTTTCCTTGTTGATTTTCTGTCTGGAAGGTCTATCCATTGAGTTCAATGGAGTGTTACAATCCCCTACTATTTGTGTTACTGCTAACTTCTCTTTTTATGTCAAGATTTGCTTACATATTTAGATTCTCCTATGTTGGATGCATACATGTTTACAAGGATCATATTCTCTTGTTAGATCAATCCCATTATTTATCATTATGTAGTGTCCTTCTTTGTCTTATAGCAGTGGTTCTCAACCTTCTGGCCCTTTAAATACAGTTCCTCATGTTGTGACCCAACCATAAAATTATTTTTGTTGCTACTTCATAACTGTAATGTTGCTACTGTTATGAATCATAATGTAAATATCTGATATGCAGGATGGTCTTAGGCGACCCCTGTGAAAGGGTCATTCAACCGCCAAAGGGGTCGTGACCCACAGGTTGAGAACTGCTGTCTTATAGTAAAGCCTCTGTTTTAAAGTTTATTTTGGCTTATTAAGTGTTGCTATCCCAGTTTTGTTTTGTTTTTCATTTCCATTTGCATGAAATATCTTTTTCCAATCCTTTACATATATTCTGAGGTGAGTCCCTCATAGGTAGCATATGTGTGGGTCTTGTATTCTTGTCCATTCAGCTACTCTATGTCTTTTGATTGGAGCACTGAAGCCATTTGTATTTAAAGTGATTATTGATAGGTACATACTTATTGCCATTTTATTATTTATAACTATGTTCATTTTTTTTTCCTTAAAGAAGATCTTTTAACATTTCTTAAATACTGGTCTGGTGGTAATTAACTCCTTTAGCTTTTCTTTGTCTCAGAACCTCTTTATTTCTCCTTCAATTTTAAATGATAGCCTTGCTGGGAAAGTAGTCTTGGTTGTAGGTCCTTGCTTTTCATCACTTTTAATACTTCTTGCCAATCCCTTCTGGCCTGAAATATTTTTGTTGAACAATCAGTTGATAGTCTTATGGGAGTTCTCTTCTAGGTAACTAACTGCTTTTCTCTTGCTGCTTTTATTTTTATTATTGATTTCAGAGAGGAAGGTAGAGGGAGAGATCAAAACATCAATGATGAGAGAATCATCAATTGGCTGCCTTCTGCATGCCCCCTATTGGGGACTGAGCCCACAACCCAGGCATGTGCCCTTGACCGGAATCAAACCTGGGACCCTTCAGTCCATAGGCCGATGCTCTATCCACTGAGCCAAACCAGCTAGGACTCTTGATGCTTTTAAGATTCTGTCTTTGGGAGCAGGCTAGAAGGGGAACAATGTGGAGGGGGGATATATGTAATACTTTCAACAATAAAATGTTTTTTAAAAAGATTCTGTCTTTGTTACGAACCTTTGGCATATAATAAGACTGTGCACACAGCCCCCAAAGGGGTGCACCAAGAGCATCTACCTCAGTTGACTGGGGAGGCTCAGCCACTGGGCCCTATAGGACACCTATCACACAAGTCCACTCTATCAACTCAAGGATACTTAGCAGCTACCCAATACATAGAAACAAACACAGGGAAGCAGCGAAAATGCAGAGACAAAGAAACATGTCACAAATGAAAGAAATGGAAGAAAGCAAACTCCTGGATAT